GTACGGATAGAGTTAAATGTCGGCATGTGAAAATGACAATCTTTATTTATCTTTTTTTTTTTTTTTAGTAAGAGTTTTACGGCACTTGTAACACAATACGCACTAGAAGTATGCTAAAATGTGAAGAATACAACCCCGGGGGTACAAAATGACCCCAGGCGTACGGATAGAGTTAAATGTCGGCATGTGAAAATGACAATCTTTATTTATCTTTTTTTTTTTTTTTAGTAAGAGTTTTACGGCACTTGTAACACAATACGCACTAGAAGTATGCTAAAATGTGAAGAATACAACCCCGGGGGTACAAAATGACCCCAGGCGTACGGATAGAGTTAAATGTCGGCATGTGAAAATGACAATCTTTATTCATCTTCTTTTTTTTTTTTAAGTAAGAGTTTTACGGCACTTGTAACACAATAAGGTCATATCAGTGCCGAAGATTAGAGGTGTTACAAGAGAGTAACAAACACAAAAAAGGAGGAGGGGAGACAAGGACAATAGGAGTTTGATAGGAAAGAAGAAGCAAACCACACCAGAGCACCCGCCAAACACCCACAGTAAGTGCTTTACGCCACTCGCAGCTGCATACGGTCATATGAGCGCGCGGTTATTCATCTTGCTGGGAGAAGTTTGGACTAATCGCTTACCATGGCAGTGGTAGTACAGATGGGTTATTCCTTTTCCTCATGTGCTTTTTGCCCAAATCTCTACCACAGCAAGATATACCATTATTCATCCACGTTTCTATTGTGGAGGCGTTTTTTACACCTATGACATGTGTCACTCTTCTCTCAAGATTTATTGCTCCATTCCAGCAGAGTGTAAATATTGTAGGCCATTGACTTTCAGTTGATGTTAGTGCACCGATCATTTCTTTCATGGAAAGGGAGCCCAGCTCGTAGATATTTACCTCAGTCTGTGCCTTGGCCTTCTTGTCCTTCTGAGCTTGTTTCACACTCTGACAAAAGAAACAAAACAGAGAGTTGTTAGTCTTCATAGGAGTTTTACAGCCCAAGCAACACAATCAGGTCAAATACGTGCAAAGGATCAATAATAACAATAATAAATGACATTTATATAGCGCTCAACTCTGATTAAAGTACACAGGCTCTGAGGGCTTTACAATACAGTACAACGTACAGCAGTAACTTAAAACGTGTTCTGACTAAAGAAAATTATTCCAAATATTCATCTTATTAATCTAAAAACACAAACGACTTCAGCTGACATTTGAATGAATCAAAAGATTTGATCTCTCTTAAAGCACTTGGTAAAGCATTCCAGATCTTGGGGCCTTGGTAATTCAAATGCCCTTTCACTCATTGTTTTAAGTTACATAGATGGTGAAACATTTCTTTTTGTCAGCTGATGACCTTAAACTGTGAGTTGGAATGTACAGTCTTAACAGATTTCATAAATATGATGGTGCATTATCATTCAAACATTTGTAACATAGGGTGGCCACCTTGTATACAATCCTTTTCTCAACATCTCAAAAGGAAGCCAATGCAAAGTTCGTAAAAGAGGTTTAGCTGAGTCTCGCTTTCTTTTCCGTAAAACTAAACGTGCAGCATTGTTTTGGATAGTTTGAAGTCTTTTAACTTTCTCCAGTGATTAGGAGGGACATACAAAGAAATGAATGAAGAGAAATATGGAGAACCAACCGATGTTTATTAGGAAAAAAATGTCACCCATCCACTATCTTACCTCAGCCACAGGCAAACATGTAGATCTCTCACACACACACACACTCATCTCAGCCACAGGCAAACATGTAGGTCTCTCACACACACACACACACACTCACCTCAGCCACAGGCAAACATGTAGGTCTGTCACACACACACACACTCACCTCAGCCACAGGCAAACATGTAGGTCTCTTACACACACACACACTCACCTCAGCCACAGTCAAACACGTAGGTCTCTTGTCGTCCGTACAGCGGGTGGTACAACTCAGCCAGACCACAGCGAAGACGACAGTCCACACACACACGCACACACACACACACACATATATATATATATACACACAGACACACACATATATATATATACACAGACACACACATATATATACACACACAAACACACATATATATATATACACACACAGAAACACACATATGTACACATATACACACACACACACACACATATATATATATATATATATACACACAGATACACACACACACATATATATATATATACACACAGACACACACACACTCACCTCAGCCACGGGCAAACACGTAGGTCTCTGCTGTCCGTAGAGTGTATGGTACAATTCGGCAAGACCACAGCGAAGACGACAGTCCACACACACACACATAATATATATATACACACAGACACACACACACACACACACTCACCTCAGCCACAGGCAAACACGTAGGTCTCTGTCGTCCGTAGAGAGTGTGGTACAATTCGGCCAGACCACAGCGAAGACGACAGTCCATCGACATAGTGGAGCTGGGGAACACACACAAACACGTAATGAATATTTCTAGTTACACAACTTGATAGAAACCTATCTTTTAACCCTATCTGTACGCTCTGGGGTCATTTTGTAACTCTGCGGTTGTATTCTTCACATTTTAGAATACCTCTAAAGCGAAAAAAATCTCTTTGAAACTTTCAATATTTCTAAAAAAAATCATTTTGACAGACTGCTATGCAAAATGTACGGATCGGATTAACATGTAAATTTCCTCTTTGAAAGAGGTGGCAGAGTTCCCCACGTCGTATGGATATGATAGTAAAACATGATGTACGGATAGGGTTAAGTGGTGGCACAGAGTTCCCCACGTCGTAAGGATATGATAGTAAAACACGACGTACGGATATGGTTAAGAAATCTTGTACTTAAACTCATCATGTGCAACACTTTCTCCACTGCATGAAACAAAACAAAAAAACAAACAAATGTACACTCAATCCCCGCACCAGCCTTGACCTTCCACTGACCTCATGACGTGCCACAATTTCTCCACCAGGTGAAACAAACAAACAAACAAACAAACAAATGTACACTCAATCCCCGCACCAGCCTTGACCTTCCACTGACCTCATGACGTGCCACAGTTTCTCCACCAGGGGTTCCATGTTGAGCGGTGACCTCTCCGAGCGTTGGAACGGAGGGTTCTGGGTCAGACATGTGATCGTATGGTGGCTGAGGACACAAACAACAGACGGCATTGGCTTCTGGCTCAGGGTTATTTGGTCGCCTTTAAGCACAAGGGGGCTATCCCGAAAAATGCTGTTTTGAGAAAATCAAAGGTTAAGCTTTCGGACCCTTGTTTAGTTTCTCTAAAAGACAAGGAGAGTTTTCTCTATAACCAAACAAATATATACACCAATGCAAAACCAAGCTTCTCCTATAGGTAGGGCAATGCCCACTTTTGGTGCAGGTCAAGATTTCTATAAATCCCCAAAATCTGGGTTAGCCTGCTTGTCCCTAAAAGCGACCTTTTGTCTTCTTTTTCTTCTTCTTGTACCACTGCTAGAGTTGGGAGGGGGTGGGGGTGGGGGTGGGGGTGGTAAGCTGGCAGTAAGGTCGTCATCTCACACCTCACAGTGCAGTTAATTTTTCACAGATCCGCTAACCCCTCCATGCCCAAGGAGCTTTCTGCAGATTCCTTCCTAGACATCAGATTCTCTACAGCCCCAATAGATGCAACTAATGTTTCTAACTGATGTTTTATTTACAGTAAGAGTTTTATGGCACTTGCAACACAATAAGGTAATAAAATTACCGAAGATTAGAGGTGTTACAAGAGACTAACAAACACAAAAAAGAAGGAAGAACCTCAGGAAACATAAAGATGATAGACGTTTGATAGGAAAGAAGAAGCAAACCACATCAGATCACCCACCAACCACCCGTGTTACTAACTGATCCTGGTAAATAAATGAGTATCGCATACAAATGAAAATGTGTATTTTCACATCATATATGGTAAGTCACACAAATATTGCAAATAAACTCGTGCATTTTCACATCATTTATGGTAAGTCAGACAAATATTGCAAATAAACTCGAGCATTTTCCCATCATATATGGTAAGTCACACAAATATTGCAAATAAACTCGAGCATTTTCACATCATATATGGATGGTAAGTCACACAAATATTGCAAATAAACTCGAGCATTTTCCCATCATATATGGTAAGTCACACAAATATTGCAAATAAACTCGAGCATTTTCCCATCAGTTACAGTCAGTTGCATAAGACCGGTGGAAACGGAATTAAAAAATTTTTTAAAAAGGATTTTCTGCAAATCCGATCCGGGTTCTTCCAAATGCCTAGTGTCATCTCGCATGTCTAAGCCCACAGGGCTAAAACCAGAGAAGCCACTCATTTTGTCAGCACAGCTCCCATTCAGGCCGTCTGTACGAGTGAGTGACCTACCTCAGATACGGATCACGCTCGTTCTCGATGAAGTCCAACGTCCAGTACAAGTGTTCACCGGTGATGTCTCCTGGGAGGGGGGAGGTAGACACATGATGACATCATTTTATTTGTAGCAGTAAAGTCAAAAATGTCTTTTTTTATATTTTTGTGGAAAGTATTTTACAGCGCTTGCAACTGTGTAAGGTCATATGGGCACGTGGGACACATTAAACATTTTCAGTTGGTAGGAAATTTTGATTTTTGCCCGGGTGGTGGTTAAAGCCCACTTTTATCGATTTTGGACCACCAAGGGATCTTAAACGTGCGCAACAAAGAAAATGTGCTGGAAGCTTAGTTTGTAGTGACCTTTAGGAATGGGCTTTTAGATTCTGTTGGCCGTCTCACTTTTATTGGGCAGGAACGGACGTGTGCCGCCTGCTTTGATTCTAGCTCAGGATCCAAGTAAATCCAAGTCAAGACCCATATGCACAAATCTGAGAAGATTGAACGGAGTGATTTCATTTTTATTTCATTTTAAGTGCTTTCAGACAAAAGCGAACAAGCTATGGAAAAGGTTCTGCTGTATTTTACGCCCCAATCCACGAAACAGTCTTGGTCCTCTAGGAGGAGCCTCGTTGTAACCTTGAGATTTTCTTTTAAAACAAGAACCAATAGTGGGAACTTACTCTTAAATTTATTCTCTCACTGTCTTTCTCTGAGATGACCCCCCTCCCTCCCTTACACTCCATATCTCTGATGTCACTTTCACTTCCCCCTCTC